CTTGTCTGCAGGAGATAGGTGTGAATGTTTGAACTGACCACCTTGATTAGCATTTAATGGCTTGGAAGTGCCTGGGGGGAATCTTTTATTATTTATTATTATTATTAGGCTGGATGGTCATCTGTTGGGGGTGCTTTGAATGCAATTTTCCTGCATCTTGGCAGAATGGGGTTGGAATGGATGGCACACAAGGTCTCTTCCAACTCTAGGATTCTATTATTATTATTGGGTTGTTATAGGTTTTTCTGGGCTATATGGCCATGTTTTGGAGGCATTTTCTTCTGACGTTTCGCCTGCATCTCTGGCAAGCATCCTCAGAGGTAGTGAGGTCTGTTGGAATTAGGACAATGGGTTTATATATCTGTGGAATGACCAGGGTGGGACAAAGGACTCTTGTCTGCTGGAGCTAGGTGTGAATGTTTCAACTGACCACCTTGATTAGCATTGGATGGCTTGGAAGTGCCTGGGGGGAATCTTTTATTATTTATTTATTTATTTATTTATTTATTTATTTATTTATTATTAGGCTGAATGGCCATCTGTCAGGGGTGCTTTGAATGCAATATTCCTGCTTCTTGGCAGAAAGGGGTTGGACTAGATGAAGTCTCTTCCAACTCTAGGATTCTAGGATTCTATGATTCCCAAAATTGTTGCTAAGTTTAATAAAATATTTGCATTCTAAAAAAAGTTCATTTGTGTTAATTCCATGTAATGCAACTCTGTGAACATAATCTTGTAAGTAACCTTCTGGTTTGTAAGGGAACTCTTTCATTCAGCTCTACCTTCTACCTTTTCTTTTCCACTGAGTGGTTTGGGTGGGGCGCCAAAGTACTGTTTGCTTACACTTGAACACGACCTAGGGCCAGTGTTGTGAGTCAGCATTCTGACACCATACCTACTACTAGTAGTAGGAGAAGAAGAAGGAGTGATGCAGAAACAGAGGAGAATCAGCGCCAGCTGAAACGCATTCGTGACATCTTTCTGGCTCCCAGTGATGAAGAAGACTTTGCAGGATTCAGGCCAGAGGAGGCTATGGAAGCAGATTACAGGGGAGTGAAGAGAGTGGCTAGTGATTCTGGCAGTGAGAGTGACACTATGTCTAAGAGGCTTAGAGACACAGCAGATAACTCCAGTGATAGTGAGGATGAGTTGGAGGAGGCTGTAGACTGGACTCTGGTTCAGAACATTAGAGACATTTGCAATCAAGCAACATCAAGTGATGATTTTGAAGGTTTTAGGGATAATGGGAATGAGAGTACTGATTGGCAGGATCAGGCACTAGAGCAAAGGTGGCAGGCTTGGCGTGGTGTAGATGCTTCAGCTGTGGGAGCAGAATCAGATGCAAGCAATGAATCTCATTCTTCTGATAGTGAATAAAATGAGCACTCTGGGACCTATTCCTTTGCAGACGACAAAGTGTTGTTTTGTGTTGTACTCTGCCTAATCTTGTTTTGGATTCCCAGTATCCTGTTTCCCTGCCGTGCCTCGGACCTTGGAACCTTCGCTCGTGAGTGTACATCTGGCTTCTTGACCCTTGGAACTGACTGACTACACGTTTGCCTACCGGATTTTGCTCCATGCCTTGCAACCCTTAAAGACTGTTTGTTTTGTATTCTGCTCCTAGTTCATCGTATCTCCTGTTATTTCTTGGCTGCAATTCAAGCCTGCTTATCTAGCGTTTTGTGTTCCTGTTTGAAAACATCCTTTGAACTGTTTGCACTGACTTTTAAAGTGCCTTATTAAGTTTGTTTTGCATTAAAATACTACTATTTTGCACCTCAACTGCTGTTTAAGACATTCTGTGTTCTGTGGGTCACGACAGCCGGCCCTGGCCACTCTTGGCTGACCAAGCTTGCTCAAGGCAACATTCACTCTTGCTTCAAGCAGACAAGGGTCCTTCCTCCCACCCGGGGCCTCATTCCACTTGCCTGCCTCGCACCAGATCCTCTGAGGATTAATTATTATTATTATTATTATTATTATTATTAAACTTTATTTGTCCCCCGCTAGTATCTCCCGAAGGACTCGATGCGGCTCACAAAGGCCAAGGCCTCAACACAACAACAATATCACAATTACATATAAACCAAAAGCAAATCAAAAACATTAAAGCAATAACAGTAAACAATAAAACAACACACCGTGATACAATAAAAACTAGGCCGGGCAAATGTAATGAGTACAGATTAAAAAGTGCTGAGTATGCTGATATCAGGATTTTGGATAAGTGCAATGTGCAGACAATCTTAATCTCTAATAAAGTGCTTTTGGGACATGTTGCTAGGATTTCCTATTCCGGAAAGGCACACCGGAATAGCCAGGTCTTCAAGCTCTTCCGAAAGACTGCCAACGTTGGGGCTTGTCTGATGTCCTTGGAGAGAGAGTTCCAGTCAGGGGGCTACCACAGAGAAGGCCCTGTCCCTTGTCCCCACCAGCCGCGCTTGCGATGCAGGCGGGATTGCAAGCAGGGCCTCTCCAGATGATGGAAGAGAATGCGTGGGTTCATAAACGGAGATGTGGTCACACAGGTAGGCGGGTCCCAAACTGTTCAGGGCTTTGTAGGTAAGCACCTGCACCTTGAATTGGGCTCGGAAGATAAACGGCAGCCAGTGGAGCTCCTTGAACAGGAGGGTTGACCTCTCTCTGAAAGGAGCGCCAGTTAACATCCTGGCTGCTGCCTGTTGAACCAACTGGAATTTCTGGACCGTTTTCAAGGGCCGCCCCATGTAGAGCGCATTACAGTAGTCCAACCTGGAGGTGACTAAGGCATGGACCACCCCGGCCAGATCAGACTTCACGAGGTACGGTCGCAGTTGGTGCACGAGTCTTAGTTGTGCAAAAGCCCTCCCGGCCACTGCTGACGCCTGAGCCTCAAGCGTGAGCGAGGAATCCAGGAGGACCCCCAAACTGCGGACCTGTGGCTTCAGGGGGAGTGTAACCCCGTCCAGCACAGGTTGCCACCCTATACCCTGGTCAGGTTTGCGATCGACCAGGAGGACCTCTGTCTTGTCGGGATTGATCTTCAGCTTGTTCCTCCTCATCCAGACAGACACAGCGGCCAGGCACTCGTCCAGCACTCGAGGGGCTTCCTTGGAGTTGGGTGAAAAAGAGTAGTAGAGTTGTGTGTCATCTGCGTAAAGATGGCACCCAACTCCAAAACTCCGGATGACCTCTCCCAGCGGTTTCATGTAGATATTAAAAAGCATGGGAGACAGAATGGGGCCTTGCGGGACCCCACAGGTCAAAGGCCAGGGGTCCAAGCAGGCGTCTCCCAGCTTCACCATCTGGGAGCGACCCTCCAGGAAGGACCGGAGCCACGACAAAACCGTGCCCCTGAGACCCATCCCAGAGAGACGACCCAGAAGGACACCATGGTCGATGGTCTCAAAAGCCGCTGAGATGTCCAAGAGAACCAGCAGGGTCACACTCCCCCTGTCCAGCTCCCTGCGGAGGTCATCCACCAAGGTGACCAAAGGCTGTCTCGGTGCCGTGACCAGGCCTGAAACCAGACTGCGACTGATCTAGGGAGTTGATGTCACCTAGAAAACCATCTAGGAGGCCACCACCTGCTCCAGCTTGCTCAAAAAAGGGAGGTTGGAGATTGGTCTGTAATTGTTCTGCACCCTGGAGTCAAGGGAGGCCTTTTTGAGGAGTGGGCGGACCACAGCCTGCTTCAGTCCAGGTGGGATGCCATGATGAGTGACAGGTGCAGCAGGGGAAACCACAGGAGAGAGTGCTGCTGGAAGATCTCCTCCAGACAGGTTGAAATATTCAAAGCAAGCCAATCGCACTGTGGAGTCAAGGGAAGCCTTTTTGAGGAGTGGGCGGACCACAGCCTGCTTCAGTCCAGGTGGGATGCCATGAGGAGTGACAGGTGCAGCAGGGGAAACCTCAGGAGAGAGTGCTGCTGGAAGATCTCCTCCAGACAGGTTGAAATATTCAAAGCAAGCCAATCGCACTGTGGAGTCAAGGGAAGCCTTTTTGAGGAGTGGGCGGACCACAGCCTGCTTCAGTCCAGGTGGGATGGCATGATGAGTGACAGGTGCAGCAGGGGAAACCTCAGGAGAGAGTGCTGCTGGAAGATCTCCTCCAGACAGGTTGAAATATTCAAAGCAAGCCAATCGCACTGTGGAGTCAAGGGAAGCCTTTTTGAGGAGTGGGCGGACCACAGCCTGCTTCAGTCCAGGTGGGATGGCATGATGAGTGACAGGTGCAGCAGGGGAAACCTCAGGAGAGAGTGCTGCTGGAAGATCTCCTCCAGACAGGTTGAAATATTCAAAGCAAGCCAATCGCACTGTGGAGTCAAGGGAAGCCTTTTTGAGGAGTGGGCGGACCACAGCCTGCTTCAGTCCAGGTGGGATGGCATGATGAGTGACAGGTGCAGCAGGGGAAACCTCAGGAGAGAGTGCTGCTGGAAGATCTCCTCCAGACAGGTTGAAATATTCAAAGCAAGCCAATCGCACTGTGGAGTCAAGGGAAGCCTTTTTGAGGAGTGGGCGGACCACAGCCTGCTTCAGTCCAGGTGGGATGCCATGATGAGTGACAGGTGCAGCAGGGGAAACCTCAGGAGAGAGTGCTGCTGGAAGATCTCCTCCAGACAGGTTGAAATATTCAAAGCAAGCCAATCGCACTGTGGAGTCAAGGGAAGCCTTTTTGAGGAGTGGGCGAACCACAGCCTGCTTCAGTCCAGGTGGGATGCCATGATGAGTGACAGGTGCAGCAGGGGAAACCACAGGAGAGAGTGCTGCTGGAAGATCTCCTCCAGGCAGGTTGAGATACTCCAATCTCCGCCTGTGTGCCTTGACTTCTCTCCTCCTGGGAGGCCCCGCCCTGAGTTTCCGGGGTGTCGGGTGGGGGGGGGGCATGTTGCATCACTGACCGGAAGCGGGGCAGGGAGGGAGGGGCAGTGGGCGGGGCTTCCAGGAGGAGCGGCGCCTCTTCCTCCTCCCTCCCTCCCTTTCCTTTCCTTTTCCTTCCTTTCCTTCTTCCTCCCTCCTTCCTTCCTTTCCCGATGATGCCACTCTAGCGGCGCTCCCTTCTCCCTTTCCCATTACCTTTTCCCCATTTCCTCCCCACTTCCTCCTCGCTTCCTTCCTCCCTTCCTTCCTTCCTTCCTTTCCTGGGGGAGGGGGCGATGGAGTCCCAGTGCGACTACTTCATGTACTTCCCGGCGACCTCGTTCCCGTGCCGGGCGGAGCTGGAGGGCGAGCCCGGCCGGTACCGCTCCCTCCCGCGGAGGAACCACCTCTACCTGGGAGAGACCGTCCGCTTCCTCCTCGTCCTCCGCTGCCGCAATGCGCCTCCCTCTTCCTCTTCCGCTTCCGCTTCCTCTTCCTCCTCCGCCCCCCCTCCTCCCCCCCCTTGGGGCCAGCTGGCGGGGTCTCTTTCCGCCCTGGCCAGCGTCAGCCCCGGAGGGGGAGGGGGGGGGAGGGGGAGGGGCGGGGGGAGTAGGGGGCCTGGGTCTGCTTCCCGAGGGGCGCGACCCCTCCCCGCCGCCCCCCTCCTCCTCCTCCTCCTCCGCCTCCTCCTCCGCCGCCCCCTCCCCCTTCCGAGAGTGCCGCCCCCTCCTCACCCACGGCGCCCCCGCCAAGGCCACCCCCGCCGCCGCCGCATCCGGGGTAAGGGGCGCCAGGGAAGCAGGGGCATCTGTCGGGAGGGCTCGCAGGGTGGGAAGAATGGCCTTTGGAGGCCCCTCCCAACTCGATGAGGATGAGGATGATGATTAGACTGAGTGGCCATCTATTTGGGGGGGGGGGGGGGGCTTTGATGCGTGAAGGCAGAAAGAAAGGGGTTGGGCTGGGTGGCCTTTGGGGGTCTCCTTGCTGCCACCTCCAGGGTAAGGACCCAGGGAAATAGGGGAGGGTTGCGGGGCCATCTCTTGGGAGGGCTTTCGTGGTGTCCTCCTCTCTGGCACAAAGAAGAAGGGGGTGGGCTTTGGGGGTCCCTCCCAATATTATTATCATTATTATTGAGGCTGAGTGGCCATCTATTTGGGGGGGGGCTTTGATGGTGCCTCTCCTACATGAAGGTAGATTGAAGGGGGTTGGGCGGGATGGCCTTTGGGGGTCTCCTTGCCCCTGCTTCCGGGGTAAGGACCCAGAGAAATAGGGGAGGGTTGCAGGGCCATCTCTCAGGAGGGCTTAGATGGTGTCCTCCTCTCTGGCACAAAGAAGAAGGGGGCTGGGAAGAATGGCCTTTGGGGGTCCCTCCCAATATTACTATCATTATTATTGAGGCTGGGCGGCCATCTATTGGGGGGGTGGGCTTTGATGGTGCCTCTTTTGCATGAAGGCAAAATGAAGGGGGTTGGGCAGGATGGCCTTTGGGGGTCTCCTTGCCCCCGCCTCTGGAGTAAGGACCCAGGGAAATAGGGGAGGGCTGTGGGGCCATCTCTCAGGAGGGCTTTCATGGTGTCCTCCTGTCTGGCACAAAGAAGAAGGGGGCTAGGCTGGGTGGGCTTTGGGGTTCCTTCCCAACTCTATTGTTGTTATGTATTGTTGAAGGCTTTCATGGCCGGAATCACTGGGTTGCTGTAGATTTTTTCGGGCTATATGGCCATGTTCTAGAGGCATTCTCTCCTGACGTTTCGCCTGCATGGCAAGCATCCTCAGAGGTAGTGAGGTCTGTTGGAACTAGGAAAAAGGGTTTATATATCTGTGGAATAATGACCAGGGTGGGACAAAGGACTTTCCTAACAAGAATATTATTGGGTTGTTGTAGGTTTTTTCGGGCTGTATGGCCATGGGCTAGAGGCATTCTCTCCTGACGTTTCGCCTGCATCTATGGCAAGCATCCTCAGAGGTAGTGAGGTCTGTTGGAACTAGGAAAAAGGTTTATATATCTGTGGAATAATGACCAGGGTGGGACAAAGGACTCTTGTCTGCTGGAGCTAGGTATTTATTTATCATGTCATCAGCAACCATTGTATCACAATTCTAACAGAGCAAAACAAACACACAGATTAAAAAGACAAAGGGGAAAAAAACACAGATTTTGCAAATTTGGTATTTGGTTGGAGCTAGGTGGGAAGGTTTCAGTTGACCACCTTGATTAGCATATAATGGCCTGATAGTGGCTGGAGCAATCTTTTGTTGAGAGGTGATTAGCTGTCCTTGTTTGTTTCCTCTCTGCTGTTTTGCTGTTGTAATTTTAGAGGGTTTTTTTCAATACTGTTAGCCAGATTGTGTTCATTTTCATGGTCTCTTCCTTTCTGTTGAAATTGTCCACATGCTTGTGTATTTCAATGGCTTCTCTGTGTAGTCTGACATGGTGGTTGTTGGAGTGGTCCAGTGTTTCTGTGTTTTCTAATACTCTGCTGTGTCCAGGCTGGTTCCTCAGGTGCTCTGCTCTGGCTGACTTCTCTGGTTGAAGGAGTCTGCAGTGCCTTTCATGTTCCTGGATTCATGTCTGGGCAATTCTGCTGCGTTTGGTGGTCCCTATGTAGACTTCTTGTCCACAGCTGCATGAGATATGGGTATATGGTAGACTCTCACTTCTGCAGGCTGGATGTCCTTTGGGGGCCTCTTTGCAAAAAAGGAGGCGGGGAGAGAAGAGAGCACCATGGGTTCAAATGGCAGGGAAGGGACGTCCACCTCAACATTGGGAAGAACTTCCTGACCACGAGAAGAGCTGTCCAGCAGCTCAGAGGCTTTGAAGCAGAGGCTGAGTGGCCATCTGTCAGGGGTGTTTTGATGTCCTTTTCCAGCATGAAGGCGAGAGGGCATTGGACTGGGTGGCCTTTAGAGGCCCCTTCCAACTCTGTTGTTGTTATTGAGGCTGGATGGCCATCTGTTGGGAGGGCTTTAAAGGTGCTTTTCCTGCATGAAGGCAGGAGGGGGTTGGACTAGATGGCCTTTAGAGGTCCCTCCCAACTGTATTATTATTATTATTATTATTATTATTATTATTATTATTATTATGTCTGGATGGCCATCTGTTGGGAGGGCTTTGATGGTGCTTTTCCTGCATGAAGGCAGGAGGGGGTTGGACTAGATGGCCTTTAGAGGTCCCTCCCAACTGTATTATTATTATTATTATTATTATTATTATTATTATTATTATTATGTCTGGATGGCCATCTGTTGGGAGGGCTTTGATGGTGCTTTTCCTGCATGAAGGCAGGAGGGGGTTGGACTAGATGGCCTTTAGAGGTCCCTCCCAACTGTATTATTATTATTATTATTATTATTATTATTATTATTATTATTATTATGTCTGGATGGCCATCTGTTGGGAGGGCTTTGATGGTGCTTTTCCTGCATGAAGGCAGGAGGGGGTTGGACTAGATGGCCTTTAGAGGTCCCTCCCAACTGTATTATTATTATTATTATTATTATTATTATTATTATTATGAGGTTGAATGGCCATCTGTTGGGGTGCTTTGATTGTGCCTTTCCTGCTTGGCAGAAAAGGAGTGCACTAGATGGCCTTTGGGGGTCCCTTCTCTATTATTATTATTATTATTATTATTATTATTATTATTATTATTAAGCAGAGGTTGGAAGGCCATCTGTTGGCAGGGCTTTGATGGTGCTTTTCCTGCTTGGCAGAAAAGGGTTGGACTAGATGGCTCTATTATTATTATTATTATTATTATTATTATTATTATTATTATTATTATTATGATGTCTGGATGGCCATCTGTTGGGAGGGCTTTGATGGTGCTTTTCCTGCATGAAGGCAGGAGGGGGTTGGACTAGATGGCCTTTAGAGGTCCCTCCCAACTCTATTATTATTATTATTATTATTATTATTATTATTATTATTATTATTATTATGATGTCTGGATGGCCATCTGTTGGGAGGGCTTTGATGGTGCTTTTCCTGCATGAAGGCAGGAGGGGGTTGGACTAGATGGCCTCTTCAACTATTCTGTGATTCTATGAAAACAAAGAGGAGGGACCCACTGAATGGCTGGGTGGTCATCTGTCTGGAGGGCTTGGATGGATGTCACCCCACCAAAGGACCCCCCGCCTCTGCTTCCAGGATAGGAACCCAGGAAAAGAGGGAGGGGGGGCTGACCTTTTGGGTGGCCCTTGAGTGACCCCTCCCCTCTTTGGGAGAACTCTCCAAGTCCCGCTGCCTTAGGAAAGCTCAGAGCATTCTTCAGCATCCCATCTCACCCTCTCTTTGGCGACACAGGGTGACCAAGACAAGGACCAACAGACCGAGAGAGCGGTCACTATCTTAAACTCTGTGGCTTTGCATTGATGTGGCATTGGGGGCCATGCAATAGCAATTAGAGTGTGGAGGGACGGTTGTGTTGTTATGTGTTGTGTGCTGGGGAAGGCATTGGATTTTGTTGTCCAATGTACAATGAGAATAAGGTTTATTCTATTCCGTTGTATTCAGAGCAGCAGCTCCATACTACAAATCCCAGGATTGTATTGCATGGGCCATGGTGTCCAGTGTGTCTTTGGCCTCAGGCGCCATAAGTGGATGGCCAGCCTGGCTGCCCACCTGCCAGCCCCTCCTTCCTGCAGAGAGCTAGAGGCTCCCCAAAGGCTATCTAGCCCACCCCCCTTTGACAGTGCAGGACGCCTCCCTCCCTTCTATCCCCCCATCCATCCCAGTGAGGAGCAACAAATGGGAGGTCTGGAACCGCGATGGTGTCCCAGAGGGGACACTCCTGCCCTCTGAAGGCCCTCCAGCCAGCGGCCCAAGCCAGATGACCACCAAGTGCATTGCACAAATGCAGAGAGAGGTGGCTTCCCGGTCCAGCCGGATTCGCCCCAAATTGGGTTGCTCTGAGTTTTCCAGCACATTTTCTCCTTTTTCCATTTGGCCTGTACCTGTGGCTCATGGCATCTTCAGAGGGTCTGTTGGCAGTGAAGCAAGTGGAGTGTGTGTGTGTGTGTCTGTGTGAGTCTGTGTATATGTATATATATCTATATATATGGGTGGAATAGAAATGCTATAAGTAAATAATATATTTATGTACAGAAGGGTGGAATATAAATACTCTGTGTGTGTGTATGGGTGGAATATAAATGATGTAAATTATATATATATATATATATATATATATATATATATATATATATATATAATATGGGTGGAATATAAATGCTGCAAATTATATATATATATATGTGTGTGTGTGTGTGTGTGTGTGTAGAGAGAGAGAGAGAGAAAAGGGTGGAATATAAATGCTATAAATAAATAATATATTTATGTACAGAAGGGTGGAATATAAATACTCTGTGTGTGTGTATGGGTGGAATATAAATGATGTAAATTATATATATATATATATATATATATATATATATATATATATTATAATATATATGTGTGTGTGTGTGTGTGTGTGTGTAGAGAGAGAGAGAGAGAAAAGGGTGGAATATAAATGCTATAAATAAATAATATATTTATGTACAGAAGGGTGGAATATAAATACTCTGTGTGTGTGTATGGGTGGAATATAAATGATGTAAATTATATATATATATATATATATATATATATATATATGGGTGGAATATAAATGCTGCAAATTATATATATATATATGTGTGTGTGTGTGTGTGTGTAGAGAGAGAGAGAGAGAGAAAAGGGTGGAATATAAATGCTATAAATAAATAATATATTTATGTACAGAAGGGTGGAATATAAATACTCTGTGTGTGTGTATGGGTGGAATATAAATGATGTAAATTATATATATATATATATATATATATATATATATATATGGGTGGAATATAAATGCTGCAAATTATATATATATATGTGTGTGTGTGTGTGTGTGTGTGTAGAGAGAGAGAGAGAGAAAAGGGTGGAATATAAATGCTATAAATAAATAATATATTTATGTACAGAAGGGTGGAATATAAATACTCTGTGTGTGTGTATGGGTGGAATATAAATGATGTAAATTATATATATATATATATATATATATATATATATATGGGTGGAATATAAATGCTGCAAATTATATATATATATATGTGTGTGTGTGTGTGTGTAGAGAGAGAGAGAGAGAAAAGGGTGGAATATAAATGCTATAAATAAATAATATATTTATGTACAGAAGGGTGGAATATAAATACTCTGTGTGTGTGTATGGGTGGAATATAAATGATGTAAATTATATATATATATATATATATATATATATATATATGGGTGGAATATAAATGCTGCAAATTATATATATATATATGTGTGTGTGTGTGTGTGTGTAGAGAGAGAGAGAGAGAAAGAAGGGTGGAATATAAATGCTATAAATAAATAAATAATATCTATCTATCTTGGGAATAATGTCCATGGTGGGAGAGAGAGAGAACCCTTGTCTGTTTGAAGCAAGTGTGAATGTTGCCATTGGCAAACGTGGAGTAGCATGGAGTGGCCTTGCAGCTGCAAAGTCAATCAGTGAGGGTCTTTTTATAGAGGTAGATTTGTGTGTGTGTGTGTGTGTGTGTCAGGAGTGACTTGAGAAATTGCAAGTTGTTTCTGGTGTGAGGGAATCGGCCGTCTGCAGGGACATTGCCTCACTACCTCACTACCTCTGAGGATGCTTGCCATAGATGCAGGCGAAACGTCAGGAGAAATGCCTCTAGAACATGGCCATATAGCCCGAAAAAACCCACAAGAACTGAGTGATTCCGGCCATGAAAGCCTTCGACAATACATTGCCTATATGTTTTGATGTTTGACCATCCTTATGGGAGGGAAGTTTCTCTCATGTCCCCTTTGCATGGGGAGCTGGAGCTGACAGAGGGAGCTCATCCATGCTCTCCCCAGATTCAAACCTCCAACCTGTTGGTCTTCAGTCGTGCCGGCACAAGGGTTGAACCCATTGCAGCACTGATAGATAGGCTGGGAGATTTTATCCTAGAGCTGTGATTATCCTGAACTCCGTGATTTCATGTCTGATGTGGCATTGGAGGTTGTCTGGTGGTAGTTGTGGTGCAGACGATGGGTGTGTTGTTTTGTGGTGGGGAAGGCATTTAATTTTGTAATAAACTAATATTTATCTATCTATCTATTTTCTATCCCTCCCCCCCCCCCCTTAGGAGGAGCCCATTGTCTCCACCGACGAGGTCATCTTCCCGCTGACCGTCTCCCTGGACAAGCTGCCGCCTTCGACCCTCAAGGCCAAGGTCAGGAAAGGGGGGGGAGGGAGGGGGGAGGGGGAAGGAGGGACCCCCATAGACACGCCTTGTATTGCAATGTCCGAGTGAGAGGGTGCATCAGAGCAACATTTGCACATAGAGCGACATTCGAGATACAGACGTAAAGATTCATGTAAATAAAAATGTAATGCTCATTTGGGGGATGAGCATAACTCGAAAACCACTGGAGGAATGGACACCAAATTTGGACACAAGACACCTCTCTGGCCAACGAGTGACCATCGCTCATAAAAACACTGAAAAACACAGCAGAAGAGACTTAAAAAGCCAAAAAACAAAAATTGCATTACAACGCATGCGCAAATACTCCCCCTGGCAAACAAAACACACAATAGCATATCCACACTCTCTTCCGGACTACATCTCCCAGCATCCCCTAGACCAGGCCCTTTAGGAGAGGAGGAGGATCCAAATGCAGTGTTTCCAACCTGCAAGCTGTCTTCTCCTTGGATTTCTTTGAGAGCATCCCCATCTCTGCAGATTTCCCATTTCCTATTCCTGGACTCCAGGACGAGCAATATTGAATGACAAGCAGCTAAAACAGGCATGGGCCAACTTGGGCCCTCCCTCCAGGTGTTTTGGACTTCAACTCCCACAATTCCTAACAGCCGGTAGGCTGTTAGGAATTGTGGGAGTTGAAGTCCAAAACACCTGGAGGGAGGGCCCAAGTTGGCCCATGCCTGAGCTGAAACATATTGATTCCCATCAGTTCCGGACAGATGTTGACTCTCCTGAATTGGTGTTGGTGTTCCTCCTTAACTTAAAATGACTATGTAAACATGTTGTTTCCACCAATAGTTAATCAAGTCAGTTATGTCAACAGTTAATCATGATCAGAGGTGGCCCTAGGTAATTTTCAACGGTAAGCAAACAGTATTTTGGCGCACCCCCCCCCCCCAACCAATCACTGATATATATTTTCTGTTTGTCGTGGGAGTTCTGTGTGCCATATTTGGTTCAATTCCATCATTGGTGGAGTTCAGAATGCTCTTTGATTGTAGGTGAAATATACATCCCAGTAACTACAACTCGCATATGTCAAGGTCTATTTTCCCCCAAGAGTGCCTCAAGAGCGCCCCTGGGCAAAATCAACTATACTGCAAATGCTTACTTTGCGTAATGGGTTGAACCGCCCCTGGTTCAGTTTTGAATGACAGTCACAGTCCCTGAGTGTAGTTGTATTGCAGACCTTTCACGCCATTCCATTCAATCCAAGCATCATCTTCACCCCTCACACGCCCCTCCTGTTGACCCCTCTCTCCGCCCTCCCCCTAGATCGTGGTGACGGTCTGGAAGCGGGACCAGGAGAAGGCGGAGGCGCGGGAGAGGGGCTACCTGAGCCTCCTGCAGGACCGCGCCCCCGCCCAGACCTTCAAGGAGGAGCAAGGCGCTTTCAAGGCACAAGGTCGGCATTGAGAGGGAGGGGGGCAGAGGGGGTCCCAAAGGGGGTCCCGGCATTCACCCCCTCACTCCCCCTCCCCTCCCCTTGCAGTGAGCACCCTGCTGACCGTCCTTCCGCCCCCGGAGGTCAAGTGCCAACAGCTCAACGTGGCCGGGAAGCACCTGACGGTCCTGAAAGGTGAGGAATTGGGTGGGGCCTGGGGGATGGGGGGCGGGGGGTGGGGGAGACCCACTTCCGGCCCTGAGTGACCTGTGACCTCCCCCCCTAGTATTGAATGCGGCCTCGCAGGAGGAGGTCTCCGTCTGGGACGTCCGGATCCTGCCCAACTTCAACGCCAGTTACCTCCCCATGATGCCCGACGGGTCCGTCTTGCTGGTTGACGACGTTTGGTAAGGAAAAGGGGGGAATATGAGGAGGGGTCATGGGGGGGCCTTCCCTCCTTAGATGCCTTGGCAGAGGGAGGGGCTCCACCAGGTTTACTAAGGAGGGAGAGAGAACTCTGGAGGGGTTTCACGGGGGGGGGGGGTATGGGGGGAATATGAGTAGGGGTGATGGGGGGCTCTTCTCCCTCCCCCTCCCCCCTGAGACGCCTTGGCAGAGGGAGGGGCTCCACCAGGTTTACTAAGGAGGGAGAGAGAACTCTGGAGGGGCTTCGGGGGGGGGGGGGTATGGGGGAATATGAGTAGGGGTGATGGGGGGCTCTTCTCCCTCCCCCTCCCCCCTGAGACGCCTTGGCAGAGGGAGGGGCTCCACCAGGTTTACTAAGGAGGGAGAGAGAACTCTGGAGGGGTTTCACGGGGGGGGGGGGTATGGGGGGAATATGAGTAGGGGTGATGGGGGGCTCTTCTCCCTCCCTCTCCCCCCTGAGACGCCTTGGCGGAGGGAGGGGCTCCACCAGGTTTAATAGCTCTGGGGTGAGGGCTTCACCCAGATGGCCCCCTCCCCTTTGTGGCCAGGCTCTCCTCTAGTGCCTCCCCTGGACCTTCAATGAGGGGTGGGGGGTCTTGCCTGGGAGCCCTGGTTGGATGGATGGCAGGAGATAGAGATCATGACGTCCCCTACTCAGCCCCTTCTCATCTTTCTCTTTATTCTCCTTATTCTCTTTTTTCCTTCTCTTGTATTATATTTATTATAATTATATTTATTATAATTATTTATTATTATCTGTATTATATTTATTGTTATTATTATTATTAATACGTATTATTATTTGAAGCACAACAGGATGAGTCCACAATTTCATTTTAATTGTTGGATCAGGCAAGATTTGGATCTCAAGGCTGTTTGTGTGACTTGGAGTGCATTTATTATTATTATTATTATTATTATTATTATTATTTATACGTATTATTATTTGTATTACAATTTTATATTAATAGTAAATATAATAATTGCAATTATAATAGTAATAATGAAAATTGTAATAATAGTAGTAGTAGTAATATTAATAATCATTGTAATAATAGTAGATTATTAATATTACTACTACTACTATTATTACAATTTTCATTATTACTATTATACTTGCAATTATTATATTTCATTATTACCTCTATTATAATTGTAATTATTATATTTACTATTATTATTACATTTATCATTATTATACGACTACTATTATAATATTATTGCAAATATTATTATATTTACTATTATTACTATTATTATATTTACTATCATTATTCCAGTTATCATTACTACTACTAAAACTGCCATTATTATTATATTTACTATTATTATTTTCTCCTTGTCCTTCTCCTTATTCTCTTTTTCCTTCTCCTTCTTCTCTTCCTTGTCTTCCTTCTCTATTCTCTTTCTCCTCCTTCTCTTTCTCCTCCTTCTCTTTATTGTCCTTATCCTCCTCTTTCACCTCTTTCTCTTTTTCCTCCTTTTCTTTCTCTTCCTTCTCCTTCTTCTCCTTGTACTTCTTCTCTTTTTCCTTCTCCTTCTTCTCCTTCTCTTCCTTGTCTTCCTTCTCTTTCTCTTTATTCTCCTTCTCCTCCTTCTCTTTATTCTCTTTCTCCTCCTTCTCTTTATTGTCCTTATCCTCCTTCTCTTTGTTCTCTTTCTCTTTTTCTTCCTTCTCCTCATTCTCCTTTTTCTCCTTGTCCTTCTCCTTATTCTCTTTTTCCTTCTCCTTCTTCTCTTCCTTGTCTTCCTTCTCTATTCTCTTTCTCCTCCTTCTCTTTCTCCTCCTTCTCTTTATTGTCCTTATCCTCCTCTTTCACCTCTTTCTCTTTTTCCTCCTTTTCTTTCTCTTCCTTCTCCTTCTTCTCCTTGTACTTCTTCTCTTTTTCCTTCTCCTTCTTCTCCTTCTCTTCCTTGTCTTCCTTCTCTTTCTCTTTATTCTCCTTCTCCTCCTTCTCTTTATTCTCTTTCTCCTCCTCTATCTTCTCCTTCTTTATATTTTCCTTCTCCTCCTTCTCTTTATTCTCTTTCTCCTCCTTCTCTTTATTGTCCTTATTCTCCTCTTTCTCTTTCCTCCTTCTCCTTGTCCTTCTCCTTCTCTTTATTCTCTTTGTCCTTCTCCTTCTCCTCCTTCTCTTTATTCTCCTTGTCCTTCTCCTGCAGCCACCAGTCGGGCGAGGTCTCCATGGCCTCCTTCTGCCGCGTCTCCTCCTCTTCTTCCTCTTCCTCTTCTTCCTCCTCGGCTTCCTGCTCCCTCCGGGCCCTTGAGGAGCAGAACTTCCTCTTCCAGCTGCAGGCCCCCGAGCAGCCCCCCAGCAGCGCTAAAGAGGTGAGCAGGGAAAGGGGAGGCCGGGTTCATTGGGGAGAGGAAGGGGCTGCAGTCACTGCCCCCTTCCCATAACTTCCTGTCCAAGCCAGTGCCCCTTTGACCCCCTCTCCCCCCCCCCCTTCGTAGGGCCTGGAGGTCCCTCTCATCGCGGTGGTCCAGTGGTCGACCCCCAAGCTGCCCTTCACCTCCAGCATCTACACGCACTACAGGTGAGGACTTCTCTCTGCATCACTTTAGGGCAGGGGTAGGGAACCTTTGGCCCTCCAGCTGTGGTGGACTTCAACTCCCACAATTCCTTGAGGCTCGGCATTGGGCCAAGGTAAGCCTTTGGGGCGAATGCCGAGCCTCAAGGAATTGTGGGAGTTGAAGTCCACCACAGCTGGAGGGCCAAAGGTTCCCTACCCCTGCTTTAGGGCAAGCTTGGGCCAACTTCAATAGTTGGACTCCAACTCCAACAATTACTAACAGCTATTATTATTATTATTATTATTATTATTATTATTATTATTATATTTTAGTATTTATTATTATTATTTTCTATTATTAGATTTCATAATTATATATATTTTAATATATTATATATTATTTTATTATTAATTATTATATTTTAGTATTATAGATAATTATATATTAAATATAGTATTATTATAATTATTATAATAATATTATATTTGTTTTTAATGTTTATTATTATTATTATTATATTTTAGTATTTATTATTATTATTTTCTATTATTAGATTTCATTAGTATATTATTTTTATAATATTATATTCATTTTTAATGTTTATTATTATTATATTTTAGTATTTATTATTATTTTCTATTATTATATTTCATTTGTATATTATTTTTATAATAATATTATATTTGTTTTTAATGTTTATTATTATTATTATATTTTAGTATTTATTATTATTATTTTCTACTATTAGATTTCATTAGTATATTTTTATAATAATATTATATTCATTTTTAATGTTTATTATTATTACTATTATTATATTTTAGTATTTATTATTATTATTTTCTATTATTAGATTTCATTAGTATATTATTTTTATAATAATAATATATTCGTTTTTAATGCTTATTTTTATTATTGTTTTACATTATTATTATTATATTTTAATATTTATCATTATTTTCTATTAAATTTCATTCGTATATTATTTTTAATATTTATTATTGTTTTACATTTATTGTTGTTGTTGTTGTTGTTATTATTATTATTATTATTATTTTAAAAGCCCTCCTGAAAACTGGGTTGTTGTGAGTTTTCCGGGCTGTCTGGCCATATTCCAGAAGCATTCTCTCCTGATGTTTCGCCTGCATCTATGACTAAAGGCATCGTCAGAGGTTGAGAGGCGAAACGTCAGGAGGGAATGCTTCTGGAACATGGCCAGACAGCCCAGAAATCTCACAACAACTCAGTGATTCCGGCCATGAAATCTTTTGACAACACATCCTCCTGCAAACACTTGTAAAACTACTGAAGTTGCCAATAGTAGCCATTCCAGCACCAAGGATACACCTGCAAACTTCATCCCTCCCTCCAGGTGATTTGGACTCCAACTCCCACAATTCCTTACAGCCTACCGGCTGTAAGGAATTGTGGGAGTTGCAGTCCAAAACACCTGGAGGGAGGGATGAAGTTGGCCCAGGTCTACTATATGGGAAGGGGCCCAAACAAGGGGGCTGTTGACAAACATCTGGGTGGAGAGCACAGGTGGGCCTCTTCCACTTCTTCTATCCCTTGAAGCTGGATGGGAGGGGTCTTCTGCCTGCACTTCCCTTCCTGGGTGGGAGGGGGTCCCCTCTGCCGTGCCCCGCTTCTAGTTCTGAAGTGTGCCCCCCCCTTTTGCTCAGGCTGCCCAGCATCCGCCTGTCGCGCCCGCGCTTTGTGATGACGGCGGAATGCCCCTCGCCTGTCCCGCTGCACCGCCGCTTCACCGTCACCTACACGCTCATCAACAACCTGCAGGACTTCCTGGCCGTGCGCCTGGTCTGGACCCCGGAGAGTGCTGCCACAGGTGAGGGAGGGAGGGGCACCAGGGGGAGGGGCTCCATCCCCCCCAAGGAGGGAGGGTCCACGTTTCCGGCCCTGACCTCTGACCCCGGCCGCAGGCAAGAAGCTGTCCCGCGAGGAGCGCCGCGCGCTGCAGGACACCCAGGAGGCCATTGTGTGCCACACGCCCCTCAACAACCTGGGCTTCTCCCGCAAAGGCAGCGCACGCACCTTCCGCGTCACCTTCCAGGCCCTGCGTGCCGGGCTCTACGAGGTGAGGACACTCCACCCCCGTGCTGGAGGGAAGGGGCGCTCTGGAGGGAGGGGGCTCTGCATGTGGCTTCCTGCAGTGGGTCCCATGGCCACCTTGCACACCCCTCTTTCCATGGACCCAACTGGGGGTCTCCGGGGGGATGGCCTCACCTTGCCCTCCTCGACCTCCCCTCTTTCTGCCCAAAGTATTGTTGTTTTTGGTGTCCCTGGCGGGCCTGAGCTCGTTTTGTGCTTTGGCCCTTTGGACCTTGTCCCTACAGGTGTTGGCTATTTGTTTAGGTTCTTCTTTGGTGATTTCTCCCTTTTTCCACTTCTTGTGCATGTCTCTTTTGTGTTTTAGCACAGTTGGAGGTTCTTTGAACATCCATTCTGGCTTCTTTGCACTTGTCCTGCTTTTTCTCTTTGTTGGCACAGTTTGCAGTTGCACCTTGAGTGTTTCACTCTTGGGGGTTCCCATCCATCCGTGGCTCCCTTGTCTTTTGGTGTCTGTGTCCACAGAGTGTTGCTCAGTGTTTCCTTCATTTTTCGGAGGTCGGCTCTCCTGAGGTCCGGAATGCGGGTTTGACTTGTCTTGGTTTCAGCCTTCCTTTGTGCCTCAAGTTGCAGGAGTGCATGGTCACTTGACCCTAAGGAGATATGATGAGGGCCATGAGTGAAGGTGGGAGGGAGTGAACTTGTTTTCTGCTTCCCTGGAGACTAGAACACAATGGAACAATGGCTTCAAACTACAAGAAAGGAGATTCAATCTGAACATTAGGAAGAACTTCCTGACTGTGAGAGCCGTTCAGCAGTGGAACTCTCTGCCCCGGAGTGTGATGGAGGCTTCTTCTTTGGAAACTTTTGAACAGAGGCTGGATGGCCATCTGTCAGGGGTGCTTTGAATGCAATGATCCTGCTTCTTGGCAGAATGAGGTTGGACTGGATGGCCCAGGAGGTCTCTTCCAACTCTAGGATTCTATTATTCTAAAGGGAAGGAGGAGGACACACGAGCCCGGCAGAGCCCTCTCTCAGGCCTAAGCATGGGATTTGTAGTTTGAGATACTTCCTGACTGGGATTTCTGGGGACTTTCTTGAAAAGCAACTTCCTCAATGTTGCCGAAAGGGAGCCTGGCCCTCCAGGCGGATCCTGTCACCCAGCTTTGCCAAAGGGCTGAAGAGCCTAGAACTGAAAGAGACCCCAAAGGACATCCAGTCCTACCCCGTTTGGCCGTTATCCTAGAAAAAGCACAATCAAAGCCCCCTCAACAGATGGCCATCCAACCTCATTATTATTATTATTATTATTATTATTATTATTATTATTATTATTATTATTATTGTTATTGAGGTGAGATGGCCACCTGTCCGGGGGGGGGGGGTGTTGTGATTTTCCTGCATGAAGGCAGAAGGGGGGGGTGGACTAGATAGCCTTGCAAAGTCCCTTCCTACTCTATTATTATTTGAAACACAACAAGATGAGTTCACAGCAAACAAGATCACTCTGCTGGCTGTTGCATTGGATCACATGTCGGACTCTTCCAAATGCCTAAGACTGTGTGATGTATTGGCAAATAATGCGTGCAGATCCCAGTAGGGTGGCCTTTTGCAGCTGCGAGGTGGTAATTTTGTCAGCGCTGATTGTGTTTAAGTGCAGGTCAAGGTCTTTAGGCACTGCACCCAGGGTGCTGATCACCACTGGGACCACCTTGACTGGCTTGTGCCAAAGTCTGTTATTCTTGTAATAATAATAATAATAATAATAATAATAATAATAATAATAATAACAACCTGGGTGGAGCCCCCGGTGGCGCAGTGGGTTAAACCCCTGTGGCGGCAGGACTGAGGACCGACAGGTCGCAGGTTCAAATCCGGGGAGAGATGGATGAGCTCCCTCTATCAGCTCCAGTTCCTCATGCGGGGACATGAGAGAAGCCTCCCAAAAGGATGATAAAAACATCAAATCATCTGGGCGTCCCCTGGGCAACGTCCTTGCAGACAGCCAATTCTCTCAAACCAGAAGCGACTTGCAGTCTCTCAAGTCGCTCCTGACACGACAAAAAATAAAATAAAACCCCTATAGGGTGGCCTTGGCATGGACGTTGAAGTCACACAGCACAATTAGTCACTGGGATTCTAACGGCAGGCTCGAGACCACCCCAGGTAACTCAGGTAGGGAGACTGTAGTGCAGCGGGGTGGATGGTACACTAACAGAGTCCCTATTCTGTCCCGGTCACCTACCCTCAGGTGGACACATTAAAAATTAGTTGATTGCAGGATGGGGCACCTGGTCAGGGAGATGGAATCCCTATAGACCACTGCAATCCCTCCTCCCCGCCCTCCAGATCTCTGCTGGTGCTGAATAGAGAAGCCTGGTGGGCAAAGCTGGGTCAGATTTACACTGGAGGTGTTGCCTCACCCAACCAGGTCTCCGTTATGCACGCCAGACCTGCCCATTCATCCAGAATTAGATCCTGGATGAGGGCTGTTTTTCCATTGACAGATCTGGCATTCAGTAGTACCATCCTTAATCTAGAGGGGTCGCCATCCTGGGTACTCCAATTTATCATGTCAGGAGACTGATTTGGAACTACTAATGTTGATTCATGTTCCCTAGGCCGAATTAAAGGTCTCCACTGGTGAGCAGCTCTTCTTGCAGCCAGGAAGTTCTTCCTAATGTTCAGTTGGAATCTCCTTTCTTTCTCGTCGCTTGGCTCCATTGAGTCCCAGCCTCCAGGGCAGAAGGAACAAGCCCTGCTCCCTCTTCCTAGTGACGCCCTTTCACATGCTTGTCTCTCTCAGCCTTTTCTTCTCCCCCTCAGGGGGATGGTGCCTTTGGTCCCCAGGCCTTTGGCCCTTTGGGTCTCCCTCTTCCTCTGGAATCCTTCCAGCTGAGGGTCCATCTCTCTTTTGGACTGGGCGCAGTGGGATTCCAGGTGAAGAGGTCTGGCCAAAGCAGAAGAGAGAGGCACCAGGACTCCCTTGGATCTGACACTTGACTCCTTTGGATTCAACCATGTTGAAATGCATTGTGTTATATTATTTATTTATTTGCGACATTTATATTACCAAGCTATTCCCCCTTCCTTTCTCTCTCCCCCTTCCTCTTTGGGTCCCCTTGCAGCTCTCTCAGCACATGAAGCTGAAGCTGCAGTTCACGGCCAGCGTCTCGAACCCTCCTCCCGAGGCGCGCCCGGTCTCGCGCAAGAGCAGCCCCGGCAGCCCGGCCGTGCGTGAGCTGGTGGAGCGGCACCAGGCCAGCCTCGGGCGCTCACAGAGCTTCTCCCACCAGCAGCCCGCCCGCGGGCACCTCATGCGGTGCGTCCAGCCCTACCGTTGGCATGTTACATACGCAGTGGGCCATCCCTCCAGTTATTACTTCATTTCTGTTCGTCTGGTCTAATTTTGTTATCGTTGGGAATTTTCTTTTGGGATCCTTGGGAGGGTGTGTGTGTTTATTTCTCTTGTATTCCATATTTTAGCATTGAATATTTGCCATTTTTTGTTGGAAACCATCCTGAGTCCCTCTGGGGAAATAATAATAATAATAGTAATAATGTATTGTTGAAGGTTTTCATGGCCGGAATCACTGGGTTGCTGTGAGTTTTCTGGGTTGCCTGGCCATGCTCCAGAAGCATTCATTCCTGACGTTTTGCCCACATCTATAGCAGGCATCCTCAGAGGTTGTGAGGTCCGTTGGAAACTAGGAAAATGGGGTTTTATATCTATCTGCCTGTGTGTCTGTGTGTCTATCCATCCATCCATCCATCCATCCATCCATCCATCCATCCATCCATCCATCCATCCATCCATCTATCTATGGAATAATGTCCAGGGTGGGAGAAAGAACTCTTTTCCCAGGCAGCAATCAGCCAGGCCTTGAAGTTGCAAGGTCATTAAATGCTAATCAAGCTGGCCAATGGGTCTGACCTCACAGCCTCACTAGAGTGTCAGGGGCCACTCTACCTGCCTCCTGACAAGGCCGCCCTCTCCCTGGACAAGACTGCCAAGTGGGAGTGCAAGATGTGGGCAAAATGTCAGGAGAGAATGCTTCTGGAAAATGGCTAGATAGCCCAGAAAACTGACAGCAACCCAATAATAATAATAATTATTATTATTTATTTATTTTGTATCAAAAGCATTGCATAAAATGCTTTTAAACATAATTATTATTATTATTATTATTATTATTATTATTATTATTTATTTAGTATCAAAAGCATTGCATAAAATGCTTTTAAACATAATAATAACAACAATAATAATTTATTTAGTACCAAAAGCATTGCATAAAATGCTTTTAAACATAATAATAATAATTTATTTATTTTTGTATCAAAAGCATTGCATAAAATGCTTTTAAACATATAATAATAATTTATTTATGTATGTATCAAAAGCATTGCATAAAATGCTTTTACACATAATAATAATAACAACTTTATATTAATAATAATAATTTATTTTTGTATCAAAAGCATTGCATAAAAAGCTTTTAAACATATAATAATAATAATTTATTTTTGTATCAAAAGCATTGCATAAAAAGCTTTTAAACATATAATAATAATATATTTATTTTTGTATCTAAAGCATTGCATAAAATGCTTTTAAACATAATAATAATAACTTTATATTAATAATAATAATAATTTATTGTTTCAAAAGCATTGCATAAAATGCTTTTAAACATAATAATAATAATAATAATAATAATAATAATAATAATAATAATAATTTTATATATAACCCACCCAATCTCCCTGATGGGAATCAAGGGTATATAAATAAAAATATAGGGTGCTATATGCATAAAGATTTATTATGCTTATTATATTATGAGTAAGGGGAAAGGGGCGCTGGGGGTGGGTCTTGGGACAGGTGAGGGAGGGGAGGGGCCTTCTTGCTTATTGGGGGCTTCTGCTAAATAAGGGAAAGGTCTCCGGCTGTGAGGCCAAAGGCAAGACTGATTCATTTGGAAGAGGTCAACCTTTTGTTAGCACAACATGAGCAGAGTGAAAACGCAACGGAATGAACCGAGATAGAAAGATAGCAGAGCTTGTGTTTGAAAACAGGAAGAAGAGTTGAGCTTATCGAAATAGTTGGTCATGGCACCCCCTTGCATCAGAGTGTGCACAGAGACCACATGAATGTAGGACGCAAAGTCAGAAATGCCACATCAGCTGGTTGATGCAATCCAAAACAGTTTAGATAGAGGATGAAAGGTAGATTTCTGAGCTTAAGCCCAAGAAAGAAAGCCAATCTTCGTGCAAAACCGGACTGGACAAGAGAACAAACTTGCAAATGTCCAAAGCTCCTTGCAGATCATGATTGGGGGGTGTCAATGAATGGACAAGGAGGAAGAGGGTCAATTATTTATTTATTTATTTATTTAATACACTTGTATACCGCTAATATCTCAGCCTGGATCGGCGACTCATTGCGGTTTACAGCAATTAAAAAACAATCTACAATTTAAAAACATATACACATACAATACAAATTATTGGGCCACCAATAATAATCCCATATATCTCGAATTAAAATCATAATCCAGAATTCGTTGTCCATATTTTCCTGTCCTTAGTCACCAGAATTCGATTGCCACAGATTAGCCGAATGCTTGTTTAAACAACCATGTTTTCAATCTCTTCCTAAACACCATCAGCGAAGAGGCTGATCGTACCTCTATAGGGAGGGTGTTCCAAAGCCGGGGGGCCACCACAGAGAAGGCCCTGTCTCTCGTTCCCGCCAGCCGCACTTCTGAAGCTGGAGGGATAGAGAGAAGGGACTCTCCAGAAGATCTTAGGGTCCTGGTGGGCTGATAGGCTGAGATACGTTCGGATAGATAAGTTGGGCCAGAACCGGTCAAGGCAAGACATTAGTCCCCCAACACTGCTGATGCGCCCCTTTCTCTTCCTCTCCCCCCCTCCCCCCCTTGCAGGTCCGGCAGCGTCATGGAGCGCAGGGCCATCACGCCCCCGGTGGGCTCCCCAGTGGGGCGGCCACTCTACCTGCCCCCCGACAAGGCCGCCCTCTCCCTGGACAAGATTGCCAAGCGGGAGTGCAAGGTGCTGGTCATTGCGCCCGGGACGTGATGCAAGTGGGACCCCCGAGGAGGGCGCGGCCCTTTGCCACTGCCGACCTGCCGCCCGCCCCCCCCTCCACCCACCGACGCACCCCCTCCCCAGGCCAAAGGCTCTGTCCGCCAGGAATGGCTGTGCGCTGCACAAGGAGGGCCACCGCCTCGCTCTCTGCCACCAGAAAACCCCTCGCTGTGCCATCCACCCCTGGGACCCCCCTGCAAAAGGAGGAAGGAAGGAAGGAAGCCCAACAGGTGCTGCAGGTGGGGATGCGGATGCAGATGCTGCGGAGCATCTTGGACCTCCTCCGTGCTGCCCCCGTGCTGCTGGTGGAGGGGCAGCCTGGCCCTTCCTTCTCCTGCCATGGACTCTACTGCGCTGGGGGCAACACTGCCCCTCCCTCCCTCCCTCCCTCCCTCCCTCCTTCCCTCCCTCATTCTTTCTTCCTTCCTTCCACTCACTCCTCCCTCCCTCCCTCCCTTCCTTCCTTCCTCCCTTCCTTCCTTCCCTCCTTCCTTCCTTTTTTTATTCCTTCTTTTCTTTTTTATTCCTTCTTTTCTTTTCCCTCCCTCCTTTTTTTCTTTCTCTTTCTTTCTTTCCTTCTTTCTTTCCTTTTCCTCTTCTTTTTTTCTTCCTTCCTTTCTTCCTTCCTCTTTCCTCTCTCCCTTCCTTCCTTTTCTTTTCTCTCTCTCTCCTCTTTTTTCTTCCTTCCTTCCTCCTTCCCCCTTCCTTCTTTCCTTCCTTCCTTTTCCTTTTCTTTTCCCCCTTCCCTCCCTCCTTTTCTTCCTTCCTTCTTCCCTCCCTCCCTCTTCCTCTTCCTTCTTCTTTCCTTCCTTTTCTTTTTTCTTTTTTCTTTTTCCCTTCCCTCTCTTCTTTCTTTCCTTCCTTCCTTCTTCCTTCCTTTCCCCTTCTTTTCTTTTTTCCTTCCCTCACTCTCTTTTTTTCCTTCCTCCCTTCCTTCCCTCCTTTCTTCCTTTTTTCCTTCTTTTCCCCCCTCTCTTTTCTTTCTTTTTCCTTCCTTCCTTCCATTCTGTCTCTCTTTTTCTTCCTTCCTTTTTCTCCCTCCTTTTCTTTCCTCCCTCCCTCCTTCCCTTCCTTCCTTCTTTCCTTCCTCTTTCCTTTCCCCCCTCCCTCACTCTATTTTTTCTTTCTTTCTTTCTTTCTTTCCTTCCTTCCGTCTGTTTCTTTCTTTCCGTCCTTCTCTCTTCCCTTCCCTTGCCTCCTTCCTTTTTTCCTTCTTCTTTTTTCCTTATTTTCTTTTCTTCTCCCCCCTCACTATATTTTCTTTCTTTCTTTCTTAATTTCTTTCTTTCCTTCCTTCCGTCCATCCATCTTTTTCTTCCCTTCCTTCCTTCCTTCCTTCCTTCCTTCCTTCCTTCCGTCTGTCCGTCCGTCTTTCTTTTTCTTCCTTCCATCCATCCCTCCCGGACCTGACTCCATCCGGCTTTCGTTATGGTCTTAGACCCGTCACTAACTAACTGCATTCTTCTGTTTAGGACACGTACTTCATGCCTTCATGCCTTCCTGCATTCCGTACTGCCGTTGCCGGGAAGGCGGGATGTTGTAGTCACTCATCCATACATCCCTCCCTTCTTACATAATGAAAGACGTATTGATTTCTGGTGCTTATACCCTTACCGACTACAAGGCCATTCATCGGTTTTATGAAAGTGTCCGGGAAGGAAGGAATGCATTAAGTTCCGGCCGGCACTTCCTTCCGGGTTCTGGTTATTTCTGCAGCAAGCCCTCCCTCCAAGAGGAAAAGGACGGACAGCCTTATGTCTTCTCTTTTCGTTACACTGTACAGCATAATGGAATGAAGAGTTGTTATTCCCATTCCTTCCTTTCCTGAATGAAGGCCGTCCGTGAAGTCAGTAAGGCCGTCCGTATGTCATGTGTAGGAATGAAAGCAAGAAAGAAAGACATCTGTGTCTTAATGCAATAAGTAGTTATGTAGGGGTGAGTGAGACAGGCCAAGACTCCATTCCGTTCTATTTTGTCGGAATGAATTAAGTAATACTTTCGTACGGACCGGAAGGACGGAATGGACGGTTACATGACGGACTGACGTCTTGAGTGTTAGGCTGCCTCAAATACAAAGAAAGACCCCTCGGGCCCAGCCTGAAAGTCATTATGGCTGGAGGTGATGGAGAAAGTCCATCATCTCCGGAAGTCTCTTTTGTAGTCAAGTAAGGAATTAACAGGCTTCAAGGCACAGTAAGGAAGGAAGGAAGGAAAGGAGGGGGGGAGTCAGACGTGAGCCTAAATAAAGTAAAGAAAGAACTACTATTCAATGAAGGACAGACTAGGGATGGCATGTGATTATAAACGTCCAGCACTAAATGTACTTAAGCGGGGGAGGAAATGAATTACATTCACTTAATTAAGGCAGTCAGCAGGAGTGAGGTTGATGGCCTTGTCCATCAAATACAGCAAGACAGTATGTCAAAGTAAGGGAAAGAAGGCTGGAGTGTGTATTGGATTCTAAAATGAAAGAAGAAACTGAATTACATGATTGGCAATTCAGCCAATAATAATTCAGATCTCAAAACATTGCTATAATGTCCCCTCTGTTTACATACATGCATGCACTCCATATTCCTTCCTTCCATGAAAATAAATAGGTGGTAATAACCCATCCCTTCATTCTGATGACTAATGTTTTTTATTTCAATTAAGCATATGACTTAATGCCGGCCTTAAGAAGGAGTGCGGGTTGATTTCCTTCAATACCATCACTCACCTCCCTCTTGCACTTTCCTTCTTCTCTCTTTCTTTTCTCTCCATTCCCTTCCCTTCCTTCCATTCTATCCCTTCCTTTCTTCTTCCTTCCTCTTCCTTCATTCCTTCCTTTCCGTCTTCCATCCTTCCTTCTTCCTGCAAAAGTAAATACACGAAATACCATATTTCTTCCACTTCAATAATTCTTGCATTTTCCTTGTCTTCCTACCATTCCATCTCCCGTACATTACGCTTTGTAGTCCACTTCATTCCTTAATTCTTCCGTCATTCATTACGTCACAGGACTAATTGCGTGCGTCGTCTGTCTTTGTCTTCCTTCCATCCATCCACCGCCTCACTCTTCCCTTACTCCACTTCTTCTTTCTTTTCTCTACCCTTCAAGCAATCCACACTTACTTACTACTTTTTCTTTCCCTTCTTCATTCCTGTCCTGCTCCTTCCTTGTCCTTCCCCTTAATTACATTCATCCGGCAGATATTTCTTTTTTTCCTTCCAGCAACATCACGCCCTCACATATGAACTTCCTTCCATCCTCATTTTCCATCCTTATTTTAATGAACTCATACTTCCTTCATCTTTTTCTTCCATTCCTTCAGTTATATTGCCTTTTACGTCCAGTCCGTCTTTCTTTTGTATTACTGAAATACAAGACCTCAATCCCATATGACTTCATTAATCCTGATTTCTGGCTTTTATGTCGACCCTTTGCAAGCATCCATTCCTGCCTCTTGTCGTCCACTTACTTCACTGCAATTTATATGCCTGATCCTTCCTTCCTTTACGTACTTCAACTGTCTTGAACTTAAGTCTTTCTTGTCTTATGACAGACAAAGAAAGCACGCAATCTTCAATTCCTTCCATAACACTTCGTCGCGTTAATGGGGGCGACCCAGGTACATCCTGTCCTTCACTACTTGTGTGCTCCAAGTAATTCCTGTCCTGACCTGTCCGTTACTTCCGACGTAGTTATTGGTACTTGTCATTGCAATCCAGTACATCCCTCCCTCGTTCCATCCTTACCAGCCTTCTTTCTTTCTTTTCGGCGACCTTCCCTCCTCTTCCTTCCTTTTTCTTCCTTCTTCTTCTCTACCTCTTCCTTCCTTCCTTTGCTTTTTACTTCCATCCATCCTTCCTTCTCTCTCTTCCATCCTTCTTTCTTTCTTTTCTTCTACCCTTCCCTCCTCCCTTCCTTCCTCTTTTTCTTCCCTTCCTTCCTTCCTTCCTTCCTTCCTTCCTTCCTTCCTTCCTTCCTTCCTTTCTTCCCTTCCTTCCATCCTTCTTTCTTTCTTTTCTTCTACCCTTCCCTCCTCCCTTCCTTCCTCTTTTTCTTCCCTTCCTTCCTTCCTTCCTTCCTTCCTTCCTTCCGTCTTTCTTTTTCTTCCTTCCATCCATCCCTCCCTCCCTCTTCCCTTCCTTCCATCCTTCTTTCTTTCTTTTCTTCTACCCTTCCCTCCTCCCTTCCTTCCTCTTTTTCTTCCCTTCCTTCCTTCCTTCCTTCCTTCCTTCCTTCCTTCCTTCCTTCCGTCTTTCTTTTTCTTCCTTCCATCCATCCCTCCCTCCCTCTTCCCTTCCTTCCATCCTTCTTTCTTTCTTTTCTTCTACCCTTCCCTCCTCCCTTCCTTCCTCTTTTTCTTCCCTTCCTTCCTTCCTTCCTTCCCTCCGTCCCAGGAGCCAAGGCTTCTTCTCCTTGCCCCCCCCCCCCATCATCTCAGGCCAGAACGCCCTCCCTATTGCACTTTATTTAATTTTCTGTTATTTATATCTTCTCATGTTGTTATTGTGTTGTTGTTGTTTTTTTAAAGAAACATGTCCCCTGGAGCATCTCCATCGGCCTCTGCGATTGTCAATAAATGGCGCTGGATGACCACCCCAAAAGGAGACCCCACTTGCATTCCAGGCCTTTCTCTCTCTCTCTGGACTTTGGCCAAAGCAAGGGAGGGAGGGGGACACGTGGAGATAGACCAGGCCAGGGTCAGCTTGGATCCTCCCTTCTGATGTTTTGGACTCTAACTCCCGCTTAAGCGGCTGAGGGGCAAAAGGAAAGGGCCTGAGGCTGCGAGGAATGGTGGGAGTTGGAGTCCAAAACATTGGGAGGGAGGACCCAAGCTGACCCATGCTTCTGCTGCAAATGCTGCAAGTTTCAAACCCATCTCACTCTAGGCTCATCTTCAGCTAGTTCTCCATGAAGACCCCCCAGATCTTTCTCCCATGGGGCTCTGTTGTGGAGCCAGGCACGGCCCCCCACCCGGTCTCTTTGCATTTCCTTTCTTCTGCCTCAGTGGGGTATCCCCCATTCCCCCCGGTCAAGCCCCAAACACCCGGAGGGAGGGCCCAAGTTGGCCCAGGCACGGAAACAAAGACACATTTGTGGGGTTTTTGCTTTAAGAAGCTTTTATTCCCTATGATGCAGCTCGGAGTGCCCCACTTCGCTCAAGTCCCAGTGGCCGGACCCCAGACCCAAGAGTGGGCCGTCTTCTCTGGTGTACTTGGTGTGCAATGCCGTGCAAAGGGGAGGAGCTCCCGGCTTCCCCCCTTTTGCTGCCACTTCCTCAGTCCCAACATCCTCATGGGGAGGAGGTGGCCGTAGTTTCCGCTCAGACGATGACCGGCTCCCGGACGGTGTTCTGCCTCTTGACCACAAAGAGCTTCTGCCCGGAGACGGTCACCAGGAAGGAGTGCTCCCCAAACACCACTGCAAGGGGAGGGAACATATCTTGTAAGCCGCTCTGAGTCCCCTTCGGGGTGAGAAGGGCAATATATATAATACTAATACTACTACTAATAATAATATTTATTTACTTTATTTATTTACTTTATTTCTATCCCGCTTTTCTCAGCTCTCAGGCAACTCAAAGCAGTGAACAACATCGATACAAAACATCACGAGACAAGTATAGGGCAATTAAAAACAATTGTAACATAAATAATTAAACATCAGAATAACAATCATGAGCGCCTCAACAGTAAAATCAGAATCCAGTCTCATCATCCATTATTGCGTATTCCTATGTTCAATTACACTGTTTAATCAAATGCTTGTTCAAACAGCCAGGTCTTCGCTTTCCTCCGAAATGCCAGCGGGGAGGGGGCCGATCTGATATCTGCAGGCAGGGCGTTCCACAGCCGAGGGGCCACCACTGAGAAGGCCCTGTCTCTCGTCCCCACCAAACACGCCTGTGATGCAGGCGGGACAGAGAGCAGGGCCTCCCCAGATGATCTTAGTGTCCTAGTCGGTTCATAGGAGGAGATGCGTTCGGAGAGGTAAGTAGGGTAAGAAAACAAGCCCTATGAGGAGCGGCTTAAGGAGCTGGGCATGTTTAGCCTGAAGAAGAGAAGGCTGAGAGGAGATATGATAGCCATGTATAAATATATGAGAGGAAGCCACAGGGGGGAGGAGGGAGCAAGCTTGTTTTCTGCTTCCCTGGAGACTAGGACGCAAGGGAACAATGGCTTCAAACTACAAGAGAGGAGATTCCATCTGAACACGAGGAAGAACTTCCTGACTGTGAGAGCCGTTCAGCAGTGGAACTCTCTGCCCCGGAGTGTGGCGGAGGCCCCTTCTTTGGAAGCTTTTAAACAGAGGCTGGATGGCTATCTGTCAGGGGTGCTCTGAATGTGATTTTCCTGCTTCTTGGCAGAAAGGGGTTGGACTGGATGATGGCCCACCAGGTCTCTTCCAACTCTAGGATTCTAGGATTCGATGATTCTATGATTCTAGGGCCAGAACTATTATTATTATATATTGTAATATATAATAATAATAGTATATTATAATCATTTATTTATATTACATGTAATATTACTAAATATTACATATAATGGTATAGTACAATATAGGCATATATAATACTAATATTGTACTATGCTAATTATATATATATATATATATATATATATATATATATATATATATATATATAATCTTGTAAGCCGCTTTGAGTCCCCTTCAGGGTGAGAAGGGCGGCATATAAAATGGAATTGTCATTTTTGATATATAAAACATGAAAAGAACAATTATTGTCGAAGGCTTTCATGGCCGGAATCACTGGGTTGTTGTAGGTTTTTTCGGGCTATAGGGCCATGGTCTAGAGGCATTCTCTCCTGATGTTTCACCTGCATCTATGGCAAGCATCCTCAGAGGTAGTGAGGTCTGTTGGAACTATGCTGCACAAGTGTCCACAAGTGCTGTGCCAGGAGCGACAACAACAGGGGTGGCCGCGACACGTGTGCGACCCACCATGGAGTTCAAGGAGCTGGGCATCGGGGAGGAGTGCGGGGTCTTCGGCTGCCTCGCGGCCGGGGTCTGGCCCACTGAGCTGGACGTGCCGCACATGATCACGCTGGGGCTGGTGGGGCTGGAGCACAGTTCCAACAGACCTCCCAACCTCTGAGGATGCTTGCCATAGATGCAGGTGAAACGTCAGGAGAGAATGCCTCTAGACCATGGCCATACAGCCTGAAAAAACCTACAACAACCCAATAATAATAATAATAATAATAATAATAATAATAATAATAATATATTATAATATATTATAATTAAATATTTTATAGTACATGTAATAGTACTAATAATATTACAATATAATGGTACAGTACAATAGAGTAATATTTAATACTGATATTGTACTATGCTAATAACATAATATATTGTATGTATATATATCTTGTAAGTCGCTCTGAGTCCCCTTCGGGGTGAGAAGGGTGGCATAGAAATGTCGTAAATAAAGAAATACATCGGCCAGAAACTACAAAACCCAGAGTTCTGCAGGAGGTGGAAAGGCAGCCACAAGGTTGGAAGGGGAGAGGCGCTCCAGTCACGCATCACAGCATCACCCTGCAGCAGAATTCTGGGAAATGTAGTTCAGGAGAGGCGGGACCTGCTTGGCTGGGAATCCCAAAGGCTCTGCTGTTGACTACATTTCCCAGAATCCTGCAGGGTGCTGACCTGATATGCAACACAACAACCCCACACTGACCTCCAGCAGTAAATGGCATATTGGGGGGGGGGGGGGTCCGTAGAGAAGGCCTCCCCTCCCTCCCCTCTCACCTGAGATGCGTCGGAAGGGAACTTCCGTGGAGCGGGGCAGGCGGAAGGCGCAGGCGGTGCTGGCCAGCTCCGAGAGGGCCGCCGCCGTGCGCTCGTCATTCTCCAGGTCGCCCGCAGACTGCAAAAGGGAGAAGGAGAGGGGCAACCAGGGAGGAGAATTACTATTATTATTATGATTTAGTTTCCTTATGCCCCAACTTGTCTCTCCACCAGAAGTCTCTCGTCTTAGTATCTGGATGCTTTTCTAGGATTACGTTTGTCTGTACCAGGCATGGCCCAACTTTGGCCCTCCCTCCAGGTGTTTGGAACTTTTGACTCCGACAACTGTTGGGAATTGTGAGTAATAATAATAATAGCATTTTCATTTCTTACCTGCCTCTCTTTGTGGCTTAAGATAAGATACAGAATCATTAAAAAAACACATAAACATTGGAAAAAATATCACAAATACAGATATTAAAATGTCTTTCAGGCTCTCTTCCATTATCCTGGGAGAAGGGTGGCCCATGTTATGATTCCCTGTTTATGATATGCAAAGGGGGGGGGGATAAACATAGCTATAATGCACCATATCACAATATTATTAGTCATATGACATGTAATATAAATGTATAATTGTAATATCATACTGTTATTATTATTATTATTATTATTATTATTATTATTATTATTATATTGCATTACATTATAAGATTGTAAATATTATAAGTATATACAATATACACTGGCCCAGAGTGACAATTATGAATAAGCCGGGAGCCAGACATGCAGGTGAAACGTCAGGAGAGAGTGCTGCTGGGTGACATTGTCCACACACAGAGTGCCAGGAAGACACACAGCTAACCCAAACCCAGCCTGCCTCTGTTGATCTCCACCTAGGCCCCGCCCCTCCTCTTTCAGGCCCCGCCCCCTCCACCTCAGGCCCCGCCCTCCTATATCTCGCTCCTCCCTCTCAGGGCCCCTCTGAGGCCCCGCCTTCCTTCTCTCCTAGACTCCGCCCTCCTCTCAATCTTCGCTCTTCTTAATCCCCGCCCCCTCGCAGGCCCCGCCCCTCCTCCCCAAAACCCGCCCTCCTCTCGCAGGCCACGCCCCTTTCTCAGCCAGACTCCGCCCCCTCTCAATGTTCGCTCCCTCTTCTTAATCCCTACCAGGCCCCGCCCCTTCTCTACCAGGCCCCGCCCTCCTCTCGCAGGCCCCGCCCTTTCTCTCCCAGACTCCGCCCCCTCTCAATCTTCTCTTTTCTTAATCCCCGCCCCTTCTCAGCCAGACTCCGCCCCCTCTCAAATCTTCCCTTTTCTTAATCCCCGCCCCTTCAATCCCAGACTCCGCTCTCTCGCAGGCCCCGCCCCTTCTCAGCCAGACTCCGCCCCCTCTCAATCTTCTCTTTTCTTAATCCCCGCCCCTTCTCAGCCAGACTCCGCCCTCCTCTCAATCTTCGCTCCCTCTTCTTACTCCCCGCCCCTCCTCTGTCAGGCCCCGCCCCCATCGCAGGCCCCGCCCCCTGTGCTCACGGCCAGGACGGCTCCGTCGCAGATGACGAGGTACCCGGTCTGGTCGGGGACGCGCTCCAGCCCTTGGGTCAGCGCCGCCGCCGCCGCCGCCGCAGAGGAAGCCTGCCCGAGGGAGAGAGAGAGAGAGAGACCCGGATGAGCACAGGAAAAGGGGGGCCAGGGGGTCCGGTCCCCCCCTCCTTCCTCCCTCCCTCCCTCCCTCCCCCCCATCGCCCTGGCAACGCACCATCTCCACAGCCCAGGCGCCCGCGCGTCACGTGAGGGCCGCCGACTTCCGGCAACACCCTGGCAGCTCCGCTAGGCGTCCCGCCCTCAATAGGATCTCTCCCTCCGCTGCCAATCAGCTCCCTGCCGGCCTCCCATTGGCTCTCGTGGATGAGTGGGCGTGGCGGAGCCGTGGCTTCCTCCAATCAAAGACTGCGAGGAAGAGTGCCCGCCCAAAGAGGAGGAGGAGCAGCGCGGAGGGACCGGAAGTGAGGGAAGAGGGACGCCTGGCCTCAGGAGGGAGGGCCCCTTCTTCCCCGGATTCTCCCAAAGAGAGAGAAGGAAGGGCCCTCGGCGCAGGATCAGAGGGAAAGAGAGTGGGGGGGAAAGCACCATCAAAGCACCCCCGACGGATGGCCAGTCAGCCTGAATAATAATAATAATAATAATAATAATAATAATAATAATAGAGTTGGCAGAGACATTTCAAGGCCATCTAGTCCAGCCCCCTTCAGGGGAAGCACCATCAAAGCACCCCTGACAGATGGCCATCCACCCTCAATAATAATAGTAATAATAATAATAGAATCATAGACTTGGGAGGGACCTCCAAAGGCAATCCAGCCCAGCCCCCTTCTTTCTGCCTTCATGCAGGGAAAGCACCATCAAAGCACCCCCGACGGATGGCCAGTCAGCCTGAATAATAATAATAATAATAATAATAATAATAATAATAATAATAATAGAGTTGGCAGAGACATTTCAAGGCCACCTAGTCCAGCCCCCTTCAGGGGAAGCACCATCAAAGCACCCCTGACAGATGGCCATCCACCCTCAATAATAATAATAATAATAATAATAATATATTTTTCTCGTGTCAGGAGTCGCTCCTGTTGTGAGAGAATTGGCCGTCTGCAAGGACATTGCCCAGGGGAAATTGCCTGGATGATTTTGATGTTTTTAAAACCATCCTTGTGGGAGGCTTCTCTCCTGTCCCCTTTGCATGAGGAGCTGGAGCTGATAGAGGGAGCTCATCCGCCGCTCCCCGGATTTGAACCTGCAACCTGTCGGTCTTCAGTCCTGCCAGCACAGGGGTTTAACCCACTGCACCACTGGGGGCTCCTATAATAATAATAATAATAATAGAATCATAGAGTTGGGAGGGACCTCCAAAGGCCATCCAGCCCAACCCCCTTCTTTCTGCCTTCCTGCAGGAAAAGCACCAACAAAGCACCCCAACAGGTGGCCAGCCAGCCTCAATAATAATAATAATAATAATAATAATAATAATAATAATAGAATTGCATTTAAAGGCCATTTAGTCCAACCCCTATCTGCCTTCATGCAGGGAAAGCACCATCAAAGCACCCCTGACAGGTGGCCAGCCAGCCTCAATAATAATAATAATAATAATAATAATAATAATAATAATAATAGAATTGCATTTAAAGGCCATTTAGTCCAACCCCAATCTGCCTTCATGCAGGGAAAGCACCATCAAAGCACCCCTGACAGACAGCCTCCCAGCCTCAATAGTAGTAGTAGTAGTAATAATAGAGTTGAAAGAGATCTTTAAAGGCCACCTAGTCCAGCCCCCTGTAGGGAAAGCACCATCAAAGCACCCCTCACAGATAGCCATCCAGCCTCAACAACAACAACAATAATAATAATACAGTTGGAAGAGACCTCATGGGCCATCATCCAGTCCAATACCATTCTGCCAAGAAGCAGGAAATTTGCATTCAAAGCACTCCCAACAGATGGCCATCCAGCCTCTGTTTAAAAGCCTCCGGGGCAGAGAGTTCCACTGCTGAACGGGTCTCACAGTCAAGAAGTTCTTCCTCGTGTTCAGGTGGAAGCTCCTTTCTTGTAGTTTGAAGCCATTGTTCAATAATAATAAGCCAGTAAAGTTGGTGCCAGTGGGGATCAGCACATTGGGTGCAGTGCCTAAAAACCCTGGCCTGCACTTAAAAACAGTCGGTGCTGACAAGACGACCATCTGTCAGCTGCAGAAGGTCACCTTGCTGGGATCTGCACACATCATTTGCCAATACATCACACAGTCCTAGACACTTGGGAAGTGTCCGACGTGTGATCCAATACAACAGCCAGCAGAGTGTCTGCTGTGGACTCATCTTGTGTGTTTCAAATAATAATAATAATAATAATAATAATAATAATAATAATAATATACTGTGGACTCATCTTGTTGTATTTCTAATAACAACAACAATAATAATAATAATAATTAATAATAATAAGTGTCTGCTGTGGAGTCATCTTATGTTAATAATAATAATAATAATAATAAAGTGTCTACTGTGGACTCATCTTGTTGTATTTCTAATAACAACAACAATAATAATAATAATAATTAATAATAATAAGTGTCTGCTGTGGAGTCATCTTATGTTAATAATAATAATAATAAAGTGTCTACTGTGGACTCATCTTGTTGTATTTCTAATAACAACAACAACAATAATAATAATAATTAATAATAATAAGTGTCTGCTGTGGAGTCATCTTATGTTAATAATAATAATAATAATAATAATAAAGTGTCTACTGTGGACTCATCTTGTTGTATTTCTAATAACAACAACAACAATAATAATAATAATTAATAATAATAAGTGTCTGCTGTGGAGTCATCTTATGTTAATAATAATAATAATAATAATAATAAAGTGTCTACTGTGGACTCATCTTGTTGTATTTCTAATAACAACAACAACAATAATAATAATAATTAATAATAATAAGTGTCTGCTGTGGAGTCATCTTATGTTAATAATAATAATAATAATAATAATAATAAAGTGTCTACTGTGGACTCATCTTGTTGTATTTCTAATAACAACAACAATAATAATAATAATAATTAATAATAATAAGTGTCTGCTGTGGAGTCATCTTATGTTAATAATAATAATAATAATAATAAAGTGTCTACTGTGGACTCATCTTGTTGTATTTCTAATAACAACAACAACAATAATAATAATAATTAATAATAATAAGTGTCTGCTGTGGAGTCATCTTATGTTAATAATAATAATAATAAAGTGTCTACTGTGGACTCATCTTGTTGTATTTCTAACAACAACAACAACAACAATAATAATAATAATAATAAGTGTCTGCTGTGGAGTCATCTTATGTTAATAATAATAATAATAATAATAAAGTGTCTACTGTGGACTCATCTTGTTGTATTTCTAATAACAACAACAACAATAATAATAATAATTAATAATAATAAGTGTCTGCTGTGGAGTCATCTTATGTTAATAATAATAATAATAATAATAATAAAGTGTCTACTGTGGACTCATCTTGTTGTATTTCTAATAACAACAACAACAATAATAATAATAATTAATAATAATAAGTGTCTGCTGTGGAGTCATCTTATGTTAATAATAATAATAATAATAATAATAAAGTGTCTACTGTGGACTCATCTTGTTGTATTTCTAATAACAACAACAACAATAATAATAATAATTAATAATAAGTGTCTGCTGTGGAGTCATCTTATGTTAATAATAATAATAATAATAATAAAGTGTCTACTGTGGACTCATCTTGTTGTATTTCTAATAACAACAACAACAACAATAATAATAATTAATAATAATAAGTGTCTGCTGTGGAGTCATCTTATGTTAATAATAATAATAATAATAATAATAAAGTGTCTACTGTGGACTCATCTTGTTGTATTTCTAATAACAACAACAACAATAATAATAATAATTAATAATAATAAGTGTCTGCTGTGGAGTCATCTTATGTTAATAATAATAATAATAATAATAATAAAGTGTCTACTGTGGACTCATCTTGTTGTATTTCTAATAACAACAACAACAATAATAATAATAATTAATAATAATAAGTGTCTGCTGTGGAGTCATCTTATGTTAATAATAATAATAATAAAGTGTCTACTGTGGACTCATCTTGTTGTATTTCTAACAACAACAACAACAACAATAATAATAATAATAATAAGTGTCTGCTGTGGAGTCATCTTATGTTAATAATAATAATAATAATAATAAAGTGTCTACTGTGGACTCATCTTGTTGTATTTCTAATAACAACAACAACAATAATAATAATAATTAATAATAATAAGTGTCTGCTGTGGAGTCATCTTATGTTAATAATAATAATAATAATAATAATAAAGTGTCTACTGTGGACTCATCTTGTTGTATTTCTAATAACAACAACAACAATAATAATAATAATTAATAATAATAAGTGTCTGCTGTGGAGTCATCTTATGTTAATAATAATAATAATAATAATAAAGTGTCTACTGTGGACTCATCTTGTTGTATTTCTAATAACAACAACAACAATAATAATAATAATTAATAATAATAAGTGTCTGCTGTGGAGTCATCTTATGTTAATAATAATAATAATAATAATAATAAAGTGTCTACTGTGGACTCATCTTGTTGTATTTCTAACAACAACAACAACAACAATAATAATAATAATAATAAGTGTCTGCTGTGGAGTCATCTTATGTTAATAATAATAATAATAATAATAAAGTGTCTACTGTGGACTCATCTTGTTGTATTTCTAACAACAACAACAACAACAATAATAATAATAATAATAAGTGTCTGCTGTGGAGTCATCTTATGTTAATAATAATAATAATAATAATAAAGTGTCTACTGTGGACTCATCTTGTTGTATTTCTAATAACAACAACAATAATAATAATAATAATTAATAATAATAAGTGTCTGCTGTGGAGTCATCTTATGTTAATAATAATAATAATAATAATAAAGTGTCTACTGTGGACTCATCTTGTTGTATTTCTAATAACAACAACAACAATAATAATAATAATTAATAATAATAAGTGTCTGCTGTGGAGTCATCTTATGTTAATAATAATAATAATAATAATAAAGTGTCTACTGTGGACTCATCTTGTTGTATTTCTAATAACAACAACAACAATAATAATAATAATAATAATAAGTGTCTGCTGTGGAGTCATCTTATGTTAATAATAATAATAATAATAATAAAGTGTCTACTGTGGACTCATCTTGTTGTATTTCTAATAACAACAACAATAA